TCAATTGATATATTCTTTTATCATAGGGTCGGTGGATCGGTGGATCGGTGGATCGGTGGATCGGTGGATCGGTGGATCGGTGGATCGGTGAGCCGAGTAGGGATTGTGTTTGACTGGCTTCCGTCTTCGATAGATTGTTTTTTACCCCCGAAATGATATGAGCGATTAGGCTCGATAAGTTCTATATTTGGTTTAGTGAGAAAGTTGACCGGTTTGCTAGTCGGTAGGTTTGCACTTAGCCCACCAATTACTCATTAAATCTTTTTTTCTTATATTGTTTTTTAATCTTTGCTTTTTCGCCCTTCCAATTGGTTATTTATACTACTTAAGTTTTATGTCTTTTACCCCTCTACACTGATTTCAAGGAAAGAAAGCGGTTTTAATCAAAGTGTGTACTTTTCTTTTTTTTCTCACAGTGCACTTTTTAATCCTTCTTTGCCTCCTAAAACCACTTCTCTACAATCACATTTCGGATTTGTTTTAAATTTGCCTTTACTGCTTCAGTTATTTCACCGACAATCGCTTCCCTAAAGCACTCCATTCCCTCCGGGCTAAACCGAGGACAGTATTTCATGATGTAAGCCGAAAAAATATTTGTTCAACGCAGCTTAGATTTTATTTTTGTAAACAATACGTGTTGTTCGATCTATGAGAAATCCTCTTGCAGAACTCACCAATAACGTTGATATTGTAGACTATTATCCTCTATCAAATATTGCGACTTCTGGGTCGTGACATACTCCTATTTTAGTAGGTTTTTGAAAAGAGTTATGTCAAATAATAGAACTGCAATATTGCTGTCCGAGTGTTTTTTATCATGTACTCGGACTCGCTAAATTACACGTGCTTAGCCAATGTTTCTCTGCTATGCTTTTACGAATTTTTTCCCCCGGATTTTTGTGCCTCCTCAAAAAACAACAATCTCTTTGCCGCCCGCTGTAATTGGCGCATACCACAGCGGTGTCGCCATCATTACGAACCGATTATGCAAAAGAAGCTAAATAAATAGTTTAAAATTGAAGTGCCGAATTTATTGCTTTTTAGGTTTTGAACAGGTTTATTTTTTTTCGGGGATGGAGAAGAAGAGAAATAATTAGGCGAATGCAAGTGCTAAGACGTTATGGCCATATGCGGTCTAGTAAAGCTTTAGCCCTTGATATTCTTAGGAGCGAGTCATGAAACATCACTTGAACCTTCCAAAAATTCATTTTTTCGAGTGCGCTATTAGACAGCAATGTTAGTCATTGAAATTGTATCGGGAAGAAACATTGACGGCCGCCATATTGGATTCGGTACTCAATGACTCTTGTTAAATAGAACAGAAAAAAAAAAAAAAAAAAAAAAAAAAAAGAAAGAAAGAAGAAAGTGTACAAAATATTTGAGCCTGGATTTCTTTAGTTTACACTTAGAATGGCTCGTTTTTTATTAATAAATCGTCGGTAAAAAAAGAACAGAGCAGAATCCAAGCCTTTTGACGACGTGTATTTTCAGTTGTTGTTGAAGCATCTTTCAAGGTCAAGAGTCTCGTTTGAAAGGGCCCTTGTGGAGAGCTATTATTAAATCAATTGAAAGTCCCCATAAGTGGATCCTTAATAGACATTTTCCCGTTTTATAAGCGGCTTTAATTGAATCGAATCATAAATTACCTGCCTACTGCTTTGAGTTTGTTTTCCATTTGATTTGATGAGGTTTCTCTGGTTTAATAAGTGTGCCAACTGTTTGTCATCTCTCAAATTACTTTCATTGTTTCAATAAAGGATATTTCGTGTGGGAGTTTCTGCGGGAGACCTTTGGCAAACTGACCGCCGTTACTTTTAAAAGACTAATTCTTCAAATAAATAAGTATTAACAACAACATTAGTGTGCGTCATTACAGGGCTTGAAGCTCTTGAACCAATATATCATAACGCGCGTGCTAGATTTAGAATGAAATGTTTTCTGAGAGGAACGGGAATCAAATGAAGTAAAACAGAGCCAAGATGTCTGAGGACTTAAGTGTTGAAAGGACTGAAACAAAAAAAAAACAAAAACAAAAAAAAACAAAA